GCGCCGGGGTACCCCTCCCGCCCCCCACCGTTCTCCAAGGGTTGTTTGGAATTGGCTGTGCCGCTGCCAACAGGCTTCCAGCTGTGTTTTCGGTGCAGCGTGGTTACGGATGCGGACCTTAAACCCGGACCGTTCGGCTAACTGAAAGCGAGTTGGCCTCGTGCCCCAGCATCCTGCCGGAATGGAGGGGGCGCTTGGCAGTAAGGTGCGTACGTGTGGGTCGTGTCGCTCAGCTGGAACCTCTGGCAAGGGGTTAAACAGAGAGGTCTGACCTCAGCCTCTCTGGACTGAGTATTCCCATCCCAGGTTGGCTCCTCTGGGAGATCTGCCTTTAGTTCTTGGAAGCTGCTCCTCTTCAGAGGAAAGGCAGCGGCAGATAAGGGCGGCGTGTGGAGCTGAATTCCCTCTTCTCTTGGCTCTGGGGACTCGTCCAAGTGTCAGCCAGCTGTGTTCGCACCAGCTGAAAGACCAACAGTGGGTGAATTGTGTCTCGTGTGCCGTCCTGTGCCTGTCTTAACGGTTTTGTTTGTTGGAGGCTCGGAAAAGCGTCTTGATCTTGATCTGAGGGTGATGAGTGAGTCAGCTTGTCGTCATACCCGGCGCTCGGGGTGTTCGTGCTTGAACAGTTGTGCTTTAGGAGCTGGGATTCCTTGAAATGGGGCGGCTGCTGCAGGTTGATGCTTTGGTGCCTGGATCTAGTTATATTAGTTACAGAGGACATTCTGTGACATGATTTGATATCGGGTTAATTATTGGCATTGGAGAAAATACTGATACAAGAAGAACTGAACAGACATCCAGAACAAACGCCAGCGAGATGTGCAGACCACAAATATTGATTTCTTTATTATTGCTCTTTTATGCAGCAAAAGGCCCTGACTGGCAGCCAGGAATAATAAAACCTGCATGTCCTCTGTTTGTTTTTTAATACTTTCTTCGCTATGGAAACTTAAGATATCCCCTTGAGCCAGAAGGGTGAAGACTGGTGGATCTAGAAGCTCTAAGACCAGTAGACTCTTGCTGCCTCTGTCCTTGGGTAGGCATGAGCCACATCTCCCCTGCCTTCTGTGCCCTTCCAGCGGGGGTTATGGTCAGGAGAGTCACTCAGGAGGTCATCTGGTGCGTCACCCCGCTTAGCGTGACGTTCTGCAGTTGACCTGCAGCTTGTAAACACCTCCGATTCTGTGGCCATGCAGTTGTTTGCTGCCTTTTGTCTTCAGAAGGCGCTTTGGAAATGAGCCACGAGAGGAAGAATGAAGGAACAAATTCAAAGACTCTTGTGTCTGGCACGTCTCCCCGAATAGACTCTGCAAATCCGTGCGTGTCCGGTCATGTTTGTACGCAAATAGCGATGACTCGGGCAGTGCAAAGGCTCTGGGTGAGTGCACGTGTGGGGAGTTCTGCGCTAAAATAACCGTTCTGTCAGGAGCCATTCGAAGTGTCCTGAGTAGTTCCGAGAAATTTGAGTGCGCTCCTGCTGTCTTGGAGGCTTAGAGTTGTGAAGGTTGTTGAGGCGGAAGAAAAGGTCAAACAAAAGCTCGAGGGAAGCCCTGGCAGAGGACGGCGGAGGGGACTTGCTGTTCTTGTCCCAAGGCTAGTGAAACTGCGATTAAACATTGAGGGGGGGAAAAAAAACAACCAAAACCACCCCATCATTATCTGGATCTCTGATATAAATACTCCGTGTGCCACCCAGCAGAAGGGTATTGCCCGTTTGCCCCCGTGCTCAGGAGGGGCAGGGAGGTGGAAGCCCTGCTTCAGGCTGTTGGAATGGTGGAGGTCCAGCGCTCATCCTGCAGGGCTGACGTGGGGCTGTGCACCCAGGGGGCGAGCGTCTTGCCATGAATTTGGCGTGAGGTTCTGCCTGTACCCGGTTTGCCACATACAGATATTCAGTCCTGGAGCCAGGCTCGAAATTGTACTCAGTTAAATTTTGAAACTGCTGCCAAAACAAATAAAATAAATGAAAGTCATTCCTGTTTTGTCTTTTAAAATCCATTTTCAAGCTCTACTCCGGAGCCAGGAAGATTGGGAACTTAAGGCAAATGAACAAGGCTGCTGAGATGCCGCTGCAGTTGCAGGGCTCCGGGAGCGAGGCATTCAGAAACCCTTCCAGGCGTTACGCACCTCGCAAGGAAGCCGTAACACCGAAACGGAGAGTCGTGCACGCGGATCATCAGCTGCCCCACGTTCATCTTGGTAATTTCTTCATGTGGCAGTGGAACATCAGGTTCTACCTACACAGTGTTGCAGACACGCACAGTTTCTATCAGACATTAGGGTCAGAACAGAGTAGTTTTGGTCCTGAGTCATCTGTCCTGTCCGGAGCCCCCCAGCTTTGCAGGCAAAAGAGGTAAAACGTGATGGAGATTCTGGTCGCTGGTCGTGTTTCTGCAGTGCTGCCGTGCTACGTAGCCCTGGGACAGCCCCCCTTTCTCACACCCTTTCCTGGGTCTGGGAGTCTCCTCTTGCTTCTCCTGCGGTGCCCTTGCCCTGAGAACGAGCTCTCCAGCACCGGGCCAGGGCAGGTGAGGTCACCCGTCGTGTGAGCCGTGACAAGTCCACCGCGTGTATTTCCTGGTGGTTAGGGGTGTCTGGCCCTAGGGGGATGCGATACTACAAAAATATTTCTTGCTGTTCGTCTGGGATGACCTGCATAACTGGCCCGTGTCTTCACCAGCTGCCAGCTCATCCCAGACATATCCTGAGTTCGAAACATCCAATTCCTTTTGTCTTTGTTTTGGAGAGACGACCACGTTCTCGTGACGCCCTGCGCTGGATCTGCCTGCAGCACCTTCCTGTGAAGAAGTGTATTTGGTTTTTCATTTCCTACAGGTCCGAGGCACATCCACCCCAGAGCTGGCTGGTGGCGTGTGCTGTGGATGGCAGCAAGAAAGCCACACGTGTGGGACATTTCCAGGTGGTGGTTTTGTTTCTTAATGGTATTTTCTTACCAGCATTCCATCGGCTGCCCCAGTGCCTGTCTGGTGTCTCTTGAAAAGTGCTGTCCCTCACACAACAGCACTGTTGGACAACTTGCCACATCTTTTCCTCCTGTTCCACCATCTGTATCTTTTGTCCAGTTCTTTTTACATCTAGGGCTGGCCTTTCGTCCTGTGTCTGCGTGGCGCTTGGTGTAGCAGAGACCTGTCCTCCGTAGCTGGGGATTCCTGGGCACTGCTGATTAAAAAAGGTTAAATGCTCAGCAAATCTTGCTCAAAATTTTCTACTCCTTCCCTTAACTGTCAGAAATGATCTCATCCTGCAATGCCATGGGATACGTTGTGTACGGACATGTTGGGGAGAACAGCTTGGGAAGGCCCTCAGTCAAGAACGCAGCTGAGATTCTGGTGTTTTGGACGATTTACAAGCTCTGCTGTCGGTACTTAACAGTTGCAACGGCAGCTGAAGGAGAAATAGGCAATTTTCCTGGTATATGCAATGCTACAAAAATACTCCTGTTTTCCAATAGGCTCCAGCAGTGAAATTTCACTAGGAAGTAACCAATAAGGAGTGTGTGGTTTTTATCTTGTTGCCATCTCGAGCTCTCGCATCCTGATGCTGGGGAGAAGCTTCCCTGGGAGCGGGGCTGGTGCTCGGTTCATTAATTTTTGTTCAGCTCCTTCTGCACAGCAGCTGTAGCCCTTCTGTCCCCTCTTTGCTTGGAGTCCTGGAGCTGCTGACGGCGGGTGTGGTGTTTCACTTCTTGCAGCAAGGAGGGGGCCCGAGGAGAGGAGAAAAAAAAAAGTGTAGATATGGACTGGGTTGCTTAAGCAGTTCTGGTTCACTTTACGCACAGGCTGAGGTTTAACTGTAGCCAGGTGCTGCGGAAAAGGGGAAAGTCTTAACCCTGGTTAGCACAGCTGTGATTTGGGAGAGCTGCAGGAGGAGCACAAGGCTTATAAAGTCAGACCTGCGGTGTGTGAAACGTGAGTGCGAAACTGGTGACGGGGTGGAGGGAGCACACCCAGCCGTGGTGCTGTGCGCGGTGGGAGCTTGGCTGCTGGGCTGGCATCTCCGCTGATGTCCCTCTGAAGTGCCCTTCAGTGCTTTTCTCTTTATTCCTGTGTCTTAGGTAGGCTACATATACACCAAATTAAAGGTGATATTTATAGCCGTGCCTGGCTGTGCAGTTGCTTTCGTGAGAAATGGCGTCGTCCTCAAGCATCCGCTCCAGGTTGGGGAGGGCGTGGGTGACCATCACCTATTTCTTCCTGGGGATCTCTAGTGCCTGGACTATTGTGTGTGCAGAATTACCCTGGGGTGGGGTTTGATGCAGGGTGGCTTCTCCTGATTCCCAAGCCCGCTTGGTTGGATATCCAAGGCTAGGATGGGACTGAGCATGCTCCTTAGCTGAGCTTCACATGATCTGGAAACTTCTGCTTGAATCTCCAGGCACCTGAACAGCTTAGGTGGACTTGCTCCTTCAGGCACTTCATTTCAGAATGAAATGTCTGAAATGGGCATCTCCTGGGGAGACGAAGAAGTGCTGCAGGTACCTGCTGCAGGGGTCCGGCGGCCCTAGGAGCAAAGTAGCACCTACTAGCATTGCATGGTGGTATCTGCACAATTGGCCACCTCTCATGGGTCACCCGGGGTTAGAGAGGTTGCAAAAACGCAGAGGGACTAGCTCCTGGGGCCATGGCAGGTTTTGAGGGGCAGGGGAGCTGCCTCTGTGGCCCATCAGACTTGGGGCTGGTTGAAAGCTTTATCACTGCTTTATTCCTGCTCAGTGTGAGGTCAGCAAGACGGGTGAGGGAGAGGCTATGGATGTTGTCTGTGCCAATTTCAGTAAAGCCTTTGACACCATTTCCCACAGCATTCTCCTGGAGAAACTGGCTGCTCGTGGCTTGGACAGGAGTACCCTTTGCTGGGTGAGAAGCTGGCTGCTGTGGTGAGTGGAGTTAAATCCAGCCAGGGGCCAGTCGCAAGGAGGGATTGTGGTCACAAAGACCACACCGTACCTGTGACCACCCCTGGAGCTCTTTCCAACCCGTGTAGATGTGGTGCTCAGGGACAGGGTCTAGTGGTGAACCTGGCAGTGCTGGGTTAATGGTTGCACTCTTTTCCAACCGAAATGATGCCAAGATCCTCCATGGGGCATCCCTTTCAGTGTGATGGACAGGGGACTCCTCTGTGGAAGCCAAGGCGGGGGTGGCTGCCAGCCTTGTGCTGGAGCTGGTGGTGCTTGCAGGAAGCGAGAGGGGGCGTTGGGCACGTGATTGCCCTTGGGCACGCGTAGCCTGGACTAGTTGGATGCTCTGAGATTATCAACGTGACTGGCCATGATAACAGGCGGAGGCTGCAAATCCCCCTCTGGTGGGTTGCTTCTCGGACCCTTCTGGTAATTATCTGCATTGTAGGGGCTTCCTGTGCAAACAGCTCCATGTCTGGGAAGTTCATCCACATGGTCACCTCATAGTATGGAGAGAGCGAGAGAGACAGGATAGGGGGGAACCAAATCTGGAAAAACTAGCCAGCCGTGAGGATGCAGCTCTCTATTGGCTCCGTTAAAACCTGAGCTGGCTGTCGTTGAGCTGCCTAAAGAACTTGCTGACAAGTGTTGTCTGCTTGTGCTCCGGCTCTCTGGCCTTTCAGGTGCTGAAGCTTGTGCACAGTGAACACATCAGAGCGGAGTTCTGCAGCACCTGGGGGCACAAGCCCCCAGCTGGCTCCTCAGGTTGGGCGTCCTTCAGCATTCCCGAGGAGGCGTTGCTGCGCCCGCGTCACGTGCGACGCTTTTATCCACGTCACTCCTTGCTGATTGGGACATCGGGAGGAAAGTTGTAGCCCAAGGGTAACTCTGGGTGCCCTGGAGCATTGGATGGAAAAAGGAAACGCGTGGAATTGCATCTTCAGTTGTAAAACCCAGAACAAATATGCCCAAGCTTTCCGTTAAATCCAAATAATCTTGCTCAGTCTTGCTGGCCGGTGGAGTCCTACAGAAGAAAGGTCTGGTGATTCTGACCAGTGGGATGTTTTCCTCAAAAACATCTTCTGTGATGTGGTGATTTTATAGTCTTGCAGTCTCTGAAGAAACTCCAGTCTCTTCCCAAAGCAGTATCTACCCAAATTCAATTTGTAAGCAATAAGGTTTTAATGTCAGTTGGAGGAGAAATGCCCAGGGTTCGTGAGGAGAAAACACACGAGTGCTCGCCCTGCCCTGCGCGATCCTGGTGCGCTGGGAGAGACCGGGGCTGCCTGAAGCAGGTCAGGGGAGTGGAGCTGGAAGCTGGTGCTGTGCCAGCGTCTGCGTGTGTGGCAGGATGATCCCGGGACAGGTCTCGCTGATACCTGGATGTTGCATTTCTAGGCAGTCTGTAATCATTGGCCTTCACCCCCTGGCTTACCTACCATGATCCATGAAACTGCTGCCCCCGGGCACTCCCGAGGGGCTGTTGTAGGGCTGTACCTGGCCCTGGTCTGCCTTCTTCCCCTCCTTTCTGCTGCTTTGGATTGGGGAAGGTGAAGGACCCTCTGGTGAAGGAGTGAGGGGGCATTTCTGCGAGCTTTGGTGCCTGTTGTGTGTGTGAGTAAACATGAACTCTGGAGGAAAACAGGCTAGCAAGTGTGAGAACAACAGCAGGAAAAAAGCCTTTTAGTATGTGGATCATCACCTTGCTCAAGTTTTCCTTCCTGTTTCAACAGCAGGTTCAGAAATCCTTTCTGTCAGGCCAGTGGCTGTGGTAGCTGCTGTGTAGATCTGCGACGGTGAAGGAGTCCTCCTTGGCAAGGTGTCTCTCTCGGCCTGGGGCTCTGTGCCAGGTAGCGCTTGGAAGGGAGCAGCAGGCAGAAGGAAATGGCTAAAACCCAGCCCCAGTTGGAGAATCATCTCCTCCGGGGAAGCAGCCAGGAGACACAAACAGCCTGAACTTCACAGCTGAGACCCGAAAGCCATGCTGCTGCCCAGCACTGGTAGTCACGAGCTGCATTTGTTTAAGATAGATATAGGAACACAGTTTGTTAATCCTTGTCATCTTCTTTAAGCCGCTTGGTTCCACGTGTGTTGCCCAGTTTTACCAGCAGGGTAGTGTGTCCCTGCTTTGGGGGATGTTTGGAGTGATAGAAGGCCGTGAGGGGCTGGCCACCGAAGCTGCCATCTGGCTGACCACCTCCCTGCTGTGAAATGTTCAGAACAGAATGAACAGAATTTACTTCTTTTTTTTTTCCCCTCAATGTCCATTTCTATCAGCTTGTGGCTTGCAGGGCGACTGCCTCGGTTTTTGCCTGAACTGGCACAGCCAGACCATTCTAACTTTGTGTCTTTGCTTCTTTCTTTCTCTCCAGCGGATCGTTGTAAAGAAGTACAGCAGATCCGAGAGCAGCATCCGAACAAAATCCCGGTAAGTTACCGTTCTGGCTCTTCTGCACCAGATTTTATTCTCCTGACCCCTTTGAGCTGCTGGGTAGCCCACACCAGCCAGCCATGGAGGTTACAAACCTTTGCTCTGCAGGATCAACACAGGACGCTCTCCGTAAGCCTCCAGTGCCTTGTGCCTGCCAGCTGCTCGATGGCAAACCGCACTCTCAGCAGTACAAAATGCAGTCTTCCTCTTAAGCTTTGTGCCTGTCCTAGAGCCAAGGAGCTGAATTGATCTCAAGTCTACTTCCAAGCTAGTGCAGCAGGAGATTACTCTGAAATGACTTCTTTTTGTTTGTTTCTTGTGGCGTTGTTGCAACAGCTACCTGACTTTTCCTGGTAAGGAAATTCCGTATCTCTACCCAGAGAAAGACGTGCGAGATGATCTTCGCTGTGTTGAAAGCAGAGAGACTCTGTCAGGATAATTCAGGATAACAAAACCGAGCGTTTGCTTCTCTTCCTGAGAAGACGGAGAACTTAGAGAAATAACGTTCCTGGGGCTTGCTTGAGTCACTATTTGCAATGCCATAGCATGTGTGACCGGAAAATGAATCGTGTTCCTAGCTGAGCTCGCTCTCAGTGTTGGATAACATCAACCTTGTCTTAAAAATGCCTACAGTCTCTTGATATTTGGTCTTCTAGGCTTAATGTCTCAAACTGCTCTTGGCACACATTAGTCCCTTCCTGCCTTGCTGCTCTTTTGATTTTAGCACAGCATCTTCTAGCAGAAAATTCTTTCTCTTCCACCACAGCTGTGGTGTTCATGTGTTATCAGCTCGGCAGAGCAGGACGTGCCCCTTGCAGCGCACTGAACACCACTGCTCATAATTCCAGAATCACAGAATGTTGGGGGTTGGAAGGGACCTCTGGAGATCATCTAATCCAACCCCCTGCCAGAGCAGGATCACCTGGAGTAGGTCACGCAGGAACGTGTCCAGGCGGGTTTTGAAAGTCTCCAGAGATGGAGACTCCACAATCTTTCTGGGAAGCATCTACATATTTACTGACCACTGCTTTTAACAGGGTTTTTATGGCGTTAGGCTGGCTCTGTGTTTCTCCGGAGTTGTGGCAGAGCTAATTAGGGTGCCTTAAGGCTTTAGCAATAAGGACAGGCTAAAAATAAGTTGCACATAAAATACACACACGTGCGTGTATCAAGTGCCTGTACACAAACGCGTGTTGCCTGGGAACTGAACAGAAGGAGCCAGAGCACCGGATCCACACGCAGAATTTTACCAGCATTACTGAAACGTGGGGGCATAGCTTCCCTGGCTGGAGTGCTCTTCGCGTTGGGGTCCCACACCACGTGCCCCAGGAGGAGGCTTCTGCATCAGCAGGACCTGGCCCCATCCACCCTGGGGAGTTGTGTGTGTGAAAGGAGGTTTAGCCAAGACCTGAGCAGGAGGGAAGAAGGGTGTTGAAGGCCTTGTGGAGGTCCAGCCTGGGCCCAGTTAGACCCTGGCACCGGGTTTGACGTTGTGTCTAGTTTTTTTTACCTCGTAGAGCTCCTGCATGTTGCTGCCTGTAGCTTTCGGGGCAAAGCAAAGCCTCATGCTGCAGAACAGAGCATGGTGTGGGGGTCTGCAGGGTGGGGAGGTTTGCCGCAGGAGGGTCTCAGGTTTCTGTGAAAGGCAGGAGCTGTGTTTGCCAAGTGCCTGGATTCCCCGGAGAGGCACTTGGAATTAGCACAGGGGAGTTACGGGGAAGATGGCCCGGGTCACTGCCGTATTGCTGGAAGAAATCACAGCGAGCTGCTCTGCAGCTGCCACCCTCTTCTTGCATCTCCTGTTTCCACGCAAAACCCTTGAGCGAGTCCCCCTTTTGCTCTGACGGAGGGCCGGGAGGATTTGCAGAGTGCGTGGCCTGGCTTTGTGCCCAGGGAAGGGCGTTTTCTCTGCTGCTGCCATGAGGGCACTTCCAGAGGAGGCTGAGGAAGGGGCTGAGCCCCGTGCGTGTGGGGGGCTGTGTGGGCACGCAGCTGGTGGTCTGTCTGCTTGAGCCCACCAGGAACAAAGCAGTGGATAACCCAAGGCATGGAGTTCTCTGCTTGTGTTTGGAAGGGAAATCGCATCCCAGGGCACCTCGCCAGCACGTGTAGTAACAAAGGAGGTAAGAGCTGGCGGCTCCCCAGTGTTTCCCACCTCCTGCCAGGGGCTCTGCTGATGGAGGCATCTGGGGCCTGGTGGGGAGCAGCTGCAAGCTTTAAGCCAGCTCCACTGAGCCTTGGAGGGTCTAAAATCACTGGGGAACAGCTTGTGCTGGGCAGCACTGGGAGCAAACCAATTCCCAAAGCACTGTAAGGCTGAGTTCAGCCAGACCTGGTGAGTCATGGGCTGTGCTGCTGCAGAGGGCTTGTGCCAGTGGGATGGCTGAAGGCATGTCTGGCCTCTGCAGAGAGGTCCCTGTCAGGTTTTCTGATAAAAATCTTGTGTGCACACCTACAGAGGAGCTCAAGGAGACAATGGCAGGTGAAGGAGCCCAAATAATGCCCTGTCCCGGCACGGTGGTGGGTAGAAACCCAAATTACAGACTTGGAGGAAGGAACAATCTTACCTGGGCTCCTGCGAGGGCTTTTTTGGGGAGCTGCAGACTCAGCGTTCAGGGCTGACAGGACTCAAGGTGGATCCACACAAGAGCACTGTTTGGTCTGAGGGGGTTTCCTGGTTATAGTCCTAATAGAGAACCTCCACGCTGCTCAGCCAGAGGGGCCAGGATGAGGCAGTTGGTGCTGCCGGTGTTCACGTGAGTGCTCTGCGTGTCACTGTTAATCGCTGTGGTTGGCCGTGTCTGCAGGTGCGTACGTGTTACATATACATGTTTGTTTGCCTGCAGGGAATATATTCTCATCCTTGCTGCTGGCTGGACCTTGAGGCCGTGCAGCAGTGGCAGCCTTGCCTCTGTCAGGCTGCCAGATCTCCCCCCGTTCCCTGCCAAAAATTGCTTTCCTCTTCTGCACACTGGTCCCAGAGCAAGGGTTGAGTTTATAAGTGCTGCCCAAGCCCCCAGTGCGATGGAACTGGGACCCCAGGCTCTGCCCTGAGCCTTTCCACCTGTGCCCAGCTTGTGTTACTTCCACAGGGATATCTGTGGTGGGTTCCCACTGCAAGAGCAGCTGTCCCACGCTGAGGAACCCCCTGGCCTGAGGCAGGAGCTTGGAAGAGGATAGATGAGAGGAGGTAGCTACAGATACAAGCCCGGTGGCCACAGGAATATCATATTAGCATTTGATCATGCGTTTCTCTAGACAAGAACGTTTTGTCCATTGGCCACCTGTTCCTGTAGCTGGGTTACCCAAATAGCAGCTCACGGTCTGGAAACAGAAGCTCTGGGAGCTGTTCTCATGACAGGCTTTCTGTCTGCTCGGGGCAAAAGGCAGCTGCTGCTTTAACAGCCCAGGACATCCTTCTCAGCCCTGTTCTTGGACTAATGCAGAGACTTTTCTTTGGGGGATGGAACTGGCTGGTAGTTGGAGACATCTGGGTCTGTTCCTCCTTAGATGTATGTGAGACACGAGGCACAGTCCAGGTGTACAGGTCCCTCCTGTGTGTAAAGGTACACACACAAACAGAGTAGCTGCCCCTTGGTGCAAACTGCTGTTGGAAACTCAAGGTCGCGCTGTTGCCTTCATGTTTCCCAGCGGCCAGAGCAGCATCCCTGCAGGTGGCTGTGGTGAGTGTCCAGCCCTTCGAGACTGTTCATTTCCAAAGTACTTGTCTGCCCGAGTAAGGCTCAATTTAATCCACAGTAGGATGATTCTGCTTGTCTTTGTCCTTCCTCTGCCCTGCTGCAGGGAGGAAGGGATGTTAGCAGGTTGCCAGGGGGTGTCCCGACACCCTGAATCTTCAGCCTGTTGCAGAAAGTTGTTCTTTCAGCACATGGTCTCTCTCTTGAACAAGGGGCTGCAGGAGCAGGGCCTGGCTCTCCCTGGTCTTTTTCTCTGTCTCTCCCTTTTTTTTTCTCTGTTAGTTATCAAGAGGAAGCATGGTCAGAGGGAGAATACATTGGTGGACTCATGGGGGCCTTCATAAGCTCTCAGTCCAGCCCTCGGGCTCCTGGGTTCCCCTTTTGTGAGCTTTGTCCAGGGTGGGGTCTTCGGAGGACATTTAGGTGCAGAGCTCTCGCTGAGACCCTTTGCGCTGCTCCCTCGTCCTGGGACTGCCTGTAGCATGGCTTGGTCCATCGTGGTGGGCCTTGAGATAAGCCCTGCAGCCTGAGGAGCTCATCAGGTGTTCCCAGCTCCCTGGTGACACCGCAGCATCCCAGCCAGAGCCTCTGATTTGGCTTTGGTGCACACAAGGCAGCAGGAGTTAAGTTGTTGCTGCTGCTGCTAGAGGCTCATGTGTCAACAAACGATGAAGGGAAAGGCAAATCGATGTTCCTAGAGGTTGCTTGCTGCTTTTGGCTCCACAGAGCCATCTTCTGGGGATCCTGGTCTGTGCATGCTGCTCCATCCCACCACTGTCCACACACCCTTTGTCTCCTGGGTATTTTTGGAAAAGACCTGGGAAAGTGATTCATGTGAACTCCTTGCCTCGTGGTGAAAAAATAATGTTCGGGCTCAACTCTGCCCTGGGGAGGCCACATCTGGATTGTTGTGTCCAGTTCTGGGCCCCTCAGCTCCAGAGAGACAAGGAACTGCTGGAGAGAGTCCAGCGCAGCCCCAGGGATGATGGAGGGATGGAACATCTCCCTGGGGAGGAAAGGCTGGAGGAGCTGGGGCTCTGCAGCTGGAGAAGAGGAGCCTGAGGGGTGACCTCACTCATGGGTATAAATACGTCAAGGGGGAGTGTCAGGAGGACGGAGCCAGGCTCTGCTCAGGGATGTCCAGTGCCAGGACAAGGGGCAATGGGCAAAAGATGGAG